CCCCCCCCAAAAAAAAAAGATTTAAGACCATCCATTTTGAGGCTATTTGTGGACTTCACCCTATGTGTGATTATGTTCTTGGCCCAAAAACAGGTTCATGGGCGTAATCGAGTAACTTTATTGGGCCTAACCCAAATTGAGTAACAATCTCGGATCCAAATATCTGGTACTGCAAAAGCTCACTCATATTCATATAGCTCCGAAAGCTTTAGACAAAATTCAAATATTCCCATATCATCGCGCCATTTTCAAAAAAAGAAACAGAGAAAACAAAAACAACGTTCTGGAAGGAACAATGAAAGAAGCATTTCCCAGTAGAGGTGAACGTGAAGTTGCTTCTGCTCTTCTCCTTCTCTCATCCATAACTCCATCTCCTCTTCCAAAGTAAGACCGATTAATCGAGACTCAATTCACAATTCAATTCAAATTTCATTTGCGTTTAACATTTTCAGTTAGAGTTTCTGATCACTGATAAGTTTGTGTTTCTCTGAGTATTTCAGAAGCAATAACGCAGCTGAGATTTCGCACAAGGTAGCGCTGAGTAATTCAACTTCGGCTTCGAATTCGAAAAGCAAATCCTCGGATTCGTCGATTGTGACCGCTGTTGATGGCTCGTTCACGGAGGATAAATCACAATCTCGTCGTACGAAGATGATTGCCACATTTCGTGAGATTATAATGAAGCTTAAGGTGAATGATTTAATGTAGTTAGTATTTCACTGCTGTTATGCTTTTGTTTTGTTGAATTCCAGTTTTGATTATGCTATACCTCTTATATAAGCTACTCGAAAGATCATTGGAGAAGATCGAGGTTTATTCTAGATCGAGAACTGCTTACCTCTTTATAACTCACTGTGATATTATCTCTGTGGAACTCTTATAGCGTGAAGTAAAACGTGATTACGAGCTTTGTTTGATTGTAGAATTTTTATGAGTTCAGTTGCAGTTTCTGATAAATTAATCTGTCAGATTTGCGTTTTCGATTAGAAGATGAATATAATATTCATATGATCTATTCGCAAATGATTTCAGTAACGCTAAAGATTATTGAGTTTCGTTATACATCATATGACTTCTGATTTTGAATTTCGTTCTTCCAGTTTACCTTGCTCTGTTTCTGAGTTTTGGGATTTGAATTATATGATGCTTAATGCGATTCCGTTTTCTCCGAGTCTATTTGATTTTCCGAGTTTTAACGTTTATGAGATTAATGATTATTCGAATTCTGAATTCGTTTTATCAACTCTTGTTTACCTTGTAGAAGAGTTTACAATCTAGTTTCGTGTTAAGTTTTCTTCTCTTTAAAATTTCAATCTAAATATAGTTATCAGATTTTTTTTATTTTGAATGTACATCGGCGTATTTTCGCAGGTGGTGAGACAGCGACGATCGAAGAGCTTCTGTATTTCCAATTGCCGGAAAATTAGCTCAAGCAAGTCAGAAGTGTCCACTTCTCTGACAAAGTTCTGCAGGTCCACTAAGGTTTCGGCCTCAGATTCTGATGCGAGTAAAATAACAGCTTCATCTTCGTCGTGTGTGTCCATTGACTCTGTCTCCTACGGCATCTCCACTTCGCGGGATAGAATGGGTCGGGGGAAGAGAGACAGATTGTTGGCTAACGAGTTCAAGCCGAATATTGCACCGGCTTACATACGCCGCCGAGCTGAAGCCATCCTCAGGGTCTTGTCTCACGAATCCGCTTCTGAAGTTAGGATTCGCCAGCTGATCGGCAATAGCCCTGATACTAGCAAAGCCTTAAGAATGTGAACCCCCCTCCTTTCTCTCGTATCAAATTTTATATAGTTAAATGAATTCAAAATCTCAAAGATAGGAAAAGTTGTAACATTACTATTAGTAGAGTGACATGAAATACTTTTAAACTTTCCAAAATATAAAGTTTGGAATGAAGGGTTAAATGGATATAACCTGCTACTGATATTAGATTTATGAGGGATTGATTCAAAATGCAGGTTGCTGAAGCAAGGAAAGGTGAAGAGGTCAGGGGAAGGAGGTCGCTCAGATCCCTATATTTACGTTGCTATTTCACCAAGTAAGCAATGATGCTGGATACATTAACTTTTTTAAAAAACTAATTATTAATTATACGTTGAAAATGAAACTATCCATTGCTACTATTGTGTTGGTGGTTCTTTTTTCGGGGTTTTCTTTCTTTTTGGGACTGTAAAGATAGAGCTCTTTTCCCGAAGGAGCATTTTATTCCTTAGAATATTCAGCAAAATATCTTATTCTTTAGATTATCCACCTTAAAATCAAATGATTAATTTCTTTGAAGTTATTTTCTATTCGTTTTGCGACCAGTTTTTATTTAAACATAATTGGAGTTAAATTTTAGCCTTGTGTCATTAGGACGAAGAATGGATTTGCACTAAAGAATATGTCTCAGTTTATATACGTTCATTCTAGGACGGTCCGAAATATTTGAAATTCTTCACTAATATTGTTATTCTCTGTGACTCTCACAACTCAGAGGAATTTAAATTTATTTAAATATTTAAAAGTTTTTGTAAAGGAAATTTGGGGGGGGGGTTATTAAACTCGAGTTGTTACTTCTTTTCCATTCCCTTCTCAATAGTAAATCACTAGCACCGGAAGTGTATCGGCACGTTTATTTTTCTTGATGAAGGTTTTGTTGCATTATCGTTGTAGGGAATTTCAGCGGACTTGTTATGGTGACAAAACCCTCTCCACTTGTTTGCAACCTTTTGAGTTTTTCTTTCACTTTTGCTGCAGATAACAAGCAAAGTAGACAGCTCTGAAAAAGGTTTTTTAATTGCAAGTTACTTATTCATCTTGAGTAATCAGTTTATCTACAAGGAAGGGTGCAAAATATACAAAACCACTCAAATGATTATATTAATGAGACGAAGTTTAGATCCCCAGCTTTCTTGAACCAGGTATGCACATTATTACCAAACTTATCCACGCAAAAGTAGAGTTGTTTTGTATCTCTTACACCCTGGTAAGAGAAATGGCCCTTTGACATGTCGGAGAAATGGCCCCCTCTCTTTATATATATTATTAATGAAACAATATTTCTTTTTGATGCTGTGTGGGGATTGTTTTCTTTACAATTCCGGAAGAGATGTCAAAATCATTTGTTATCTAGGACCATTTGGCAGTTGATTTTCATTTTGTCCGTGAGTTTGTTGCCAGATCTGGGTTCATTTGGTTCTAAAGCTTGCCTACAAAAGCATTGATAACTTGCTGAAAGTTTTAACTAATAAGGTGATCTTTCTTCGCATTGATTCAAGATGTGAAGGGGTAATATTCGTTTCCATATGTTATCTATAAGAAGCGTATCTTAAGGATAAATGTTAGGGTCTATTTTATTTGTAAAGAATAAATGCGCTCATTTCGTACTAGTAAAAATAAAAACTCTTCCACTAATTAGGATGAGGTTCGTCTGATCAGATCGTGCACATGCAAGAAAATAACTTCTATCCCTTGAAACACAAGCAAACACATGTCGTTCTTTGTTGTCTTCCATAATTCCATACACTCGTGGAACTCCACCATTCTAAATTAAAAACTCAAAAGCAGCTCATGTTCTCAAACCCAGAAAAGGAAAAAATATATACTCTATATGATCTGTCATATGACTGAACTTGCTTCCTCAAGGATCTTTACTTCCATTTCTTTTTGTTTATNGGGAAGCAAATTGAAAAGCCAGTTCACAGACTCAAAATATACCAATTCGCTGAACATTATATGTGTAACCTTTATTGTATTGAGGAAGAATTAGCTTAATAGATCAGTTGGCAGAAGGCTTCCTCGCCAAGAAGAAATACATTGGAGTGAAAATGCCTTCCCTGCATCAATCCAAATTGTTGAAAGGATTACTATTGAGAGCAACATTTTAAAGAAATACGCATTTACAAACTGCAACCAGATTTAATGTTGATTACCTCACTATAGATTCAGTTCAACAACCTACATCACAGTTGGCATTATTCATGTCTAACAAATAAGAGAAGTGATCACTAGGGCAAAACGCGTGAATAACTTATAGACTGTGCAGTAGCTTGACAGAATTAGTTATCTGAATTTTATCAAGGCCAATGATCTACAAGTGAAAGACACTGCTGAACTAGTTTGTATATTATCATTTATATAAGCTAACAACTTAATTATATAATTCATTGTCAAAAATTGCACCAAACTGGATATCAATTAGCTTATATTGGATACAAGTTTATCCTTAACCCAAATAAGTTGTCAAAAGGACTAATTTAGCTTCAGCATCTATCTGGGATATTGTAGGGTGCTTGGCCAGATTTTCAGATAAAGTGCAAGGAAACAAGTCATTGCATGTCAAAGAATTACTCATAAACTGCAGTATTGCAAAGCATTTTTCCATGCAGCCTCTACTTAATTTCCATTCTATTGGAGACATTTATTTTAGGTCGTCAAAGGTCTAGTTGTCCTACCATTGATCAATCTATCCATTCAGTAAATGATATTTTCAATTTTAAAAAAAAATTCTAGAGTGTTCAATTTCTTCTATTTGATAAATAAGATGAAAACAGAGTTAAAGAAAGCAAGCAGGTCTCACTTACTTTCCACCTTCAACAAGTGCATCTGCAGCTTGCTCCAGGATGGCTTGAACCTTTTGGCTTCCTTCAGGGGCAAGGCCGACTCGCTCTAATATCTTGACCTAAACAGAAATAAATCCAGGTAAGTTCAATAATTTGACGACATTACATTTCCTTAAAGTCAAGGGTTAACCATTAATGAGCTAAAGAGATGAAAATAATGTAGCAAAATCTTTTAAATAAGAAATCATAATTGGAAAACAACATTCATAAAATCAAAAACTTGTGATCTTACCATATTTCTGGTGAAAAAGCGTCCAAAAACTGTCACGCGTACATTGCCTAAGGAGAAATGACTTTTGTCCAGAGGCAAATACCAAGGGAGAGGAGAGTCGATAGCAATATCCTTGTCCCAAATAATCTTTTGCATGAAGTGGAAATACCAACAAAGAAGATGTTAAAACACATCAAATTCATGCTATTCATTATTTCCCCTGTCATGTTATGAATAAGATAGCAACTGTAAACAAGAAGTCTGACAAGGAAGAACAAAGTTTTGGATAAGAGGACGCTAATATTACCCAGGTAAGTGGGATATGTTAAGATGTTTCAAGGGAATGAGTTGAAGCAAAGCTTATGTTATGGTTTAACAACTAGAAAAAATGTGCTATCTGATCATAGAATAAAATAATAAAGGTTTTAACTTTTAAGTACTGTTAAAAATAGAGGTTCACAAGATAAGAAGCTCACCTCAAAACCTGCTTGTTTCAGAGCTTCAATGCACTGTCCCATCGATCTGATGTCAGGAAGTCCATTACCAAGCTCCACCTCACGCTGTTTTATATGATCTATGTATGGAGTTAGCAGCACAATAAAGAGCTAAAAAAATTGAGTATAAGAAGATTCAATACCTTGATCCTCTGGTGATTTGCATTATTAGGATCAAAGAAATCAGTGATACACCATTCATAATTAGCAAAGCACTGGCCAGGCTTCAACACTCTGAATATTTCCTTGTAGCAATCAAACTAGTCATCCACAACATGTTGTGAAAACAATCAATTATAGATTCAATATTCAAGTGAATTAGAGAGATCCAGAGTAAATTCACCAAAAAGCCAGTAAATGTTCTGCAAGTGCTTACCACATCTGGGGCATGACATGTAGCTTCTATGGCAAAAATTCCATCAAAACTGTCGTCAGCAAATGGCATACTCATGAAGTCGGCCTACATTTTTTAGAAAGAGTGCGATGAGAAGAAAAAATACTACTCTTTGATGGTAGAATAAAATTCAAAAAAGAGTCACATTACCGTTACATAATTGCAGGTGTTGTCAACTCCTGCAATAAGGTTCAGTTCCTGCAAAGCAACCAATACAATAATTGAACTCCAGCTCAAACACAACTAAGATCCTAATAAATGAGAAAGGACGAAAAAAATTATATCGACATGCAAGTGACTTTTGGCACAGTATTTCGGTGGATGGAATATCCCTACATTCTTTTCACCCACCCCACTCCCCCAAATAAAAAATAAAAACATAAAGCTGAGCACACACACATACACACAAAGTACTTACTTTTCCTCGTGTTACTTGATATTCATTGTTGTTGATTCCAGTAACATATGTACCACTATAAAAGGTAAATAATATCAGATAGCAGTGTGGAAATGGACAAACTTACAACAGTTAAAAATAATAATAATAATAATAATAAGAACACTTTGTACTGTAGATCTGTTTTAGCCTGAACGGTAAGTAAACGAGAAAGAAAAGAGCTCTTCCCTACTAGCTAGAGCATTTCCTGCAGTACCTAGCTAGGAGGCAGGACTATTACTTCTCTTCAAATCTTTTTAAAAAAACTAAGCAGGATCTGATATCGAGTACTATCAACAAAGAATCCTCCATGCCAAATAATGCTTAAAAGATCCCATATCAACGTAAGTGTTACGGGAGGAGTTCAATGACTTCAATCTTTGAATTTTAAGCATCAAAATTATTTAGTGAATTCCAGTCGGTAGCATGTTAGATTTGGTCCAACATAATCATTTAGCTAACACAAAATTGGAACATAAAAGAATAATATCTTTCCTTTGGTACAATGAGAGATAGACTACATAGGATATGGTGATAATTGATTGGTGATTGGGGTGTCTACCTGAAGCTATTAAACAGTACATGGATATTAAGCTTTTTTTTCTCCTTTTTATTTGCACATCCAGGTGAAGCCAACTAAATAATAAGTAACTCTTGAATTAGGTATGTTTTTGAAATAGCAGCCAAATGGATAACAACAAACGGTAAATAGATATTACATGCTCCTATAATCTTCCATTGCGTGGATGCTACGAGGAATCAGAGATTCAGCTCTACTACATCACAACTTGGACAATTAAAATTTAAGCAAACAACAAATACTAACAAAGGATGAACAGATGGGATACAAATTAAAAACGATTTCAAGCTGCCAAGATATATATAAAAACATTCTCCGCTGAAGAGTATGACTAGATTTTCAGATAAAGACACATGCTTGAGCAATCGTAGTTCATACTACTCTAATAGCCGCTATGAAATACAGAGCTGACTTTTACCTAAATCTGGCAATTTCTCTTAAAGGGCCACCAATTCCACATCCAACATCCAAAACCTGTCAATGAAACAAGGAATTCTTTTCATGTTCCACTCGCTAAATGAGACCTGACTGACCAACTTGAACCAAAACCAACACGAGAAAAGGAGAGAGTAGCAGAAAAAGAACACATCCATAATACGATGAAGTAAACCTTTTGTCCTTGCTTTAGCCCTAATTGCAGAGCAAGAAAGTGTTCGTGTCGTCTGATACTTTCTCGAAGTGATTCACCTTTCCATCTGTTATAACAAGGAAGCTATAATAATTACTAGTCCTCTTTTGCTAATTATCACGGATTTCCAACCAAAAGTGAAAGAAGAGAACAATACACCAGTGGAGTACCTACCTAGGAGCAAAATGGAAAGATTCACCCCAACCATACTCATAAAAGCTTGTTGCTAGATCATAATATTTGTTAACCTGTAAACAAAGAACATTTATTATGGATTAATTAACTACTGAGTTTCTGGATAATTGAAGTCCTATAGAAAAGTCACAAATGGGATAGGCATGCTTAAACTATCAATAGAATATCAAAATCCTACCACCAAAGGGCGAATGTAGATCACTACCTTGTTATCTGGGACGGAGCTAGATGGACGTGAGGGGGGTCAACTGAATTCCATTTGTCCGAAATTATGCCGTGTAAGTGGGCTAAATGAATCTTTTTGCATATAGATATGGATCGCTGAATAACCTTGACATAGAGAAAGATTCTAGAATAGTGGTAAAGGGGGTTCAAAATTTCAGGTGTGATATTCTTATAGTTTTAATACCCTTGTTAAATTTTTTTGGCTCCGCCACTGCTTGTTAGTTCTTTAACTATTTGATTATATCTTCTCAAATCTTACCATATCAATGTAGTTGGCTTTCCTCTCTTCCTCAGCTTCTCCATCACAGGCATGATATTTTTTGTACCTAAAGTAATTAATAATCCTTTATTACATGTGGAAAAAGAAAATACAGTAACCCTATTAAAATCATAGGAGAATTGAGTTGCAAAATAAAATATAAAGAACAGCTATTCAGGCCCAGGATAATATCAGTAAAGATTGTGCATTAACTTTTCTCTTTGAACAATTAATAAAACTGATCGTACAAAATACTATAAGAAAGTTTGAAATAAAGGAAATGCAACAATAGGCATATCTATTTAAGTACTTAACTGGACAAGATGCGATGGAATAAAACCATTTTCAGCACTAAATAAGCAGTGAGTGGTTGAAATTTAAGAATCAACATTAAATTTGAAGCTACAAAAAGTATGATCTGGAATGAAATTTTACTTTTCAAAAGCTGAAAGTACTTCTTTCTTCTCAATTTTGCCACCAACCCCAGAAGCCAGATCAAATGTTCCAGTTTTTGACATCTGTCGTTCCTACACACACAAAAAAATATCCATCTTCAGAATTACATACACAAAACAAAGCAACTTCAAGATTCTGAGTTAGAATAAAAGTTAGCATAAAGATATTACAATAAGATTAAAATAATTGGGAAAGCAGCTGAAATGAGTCTCTCATTTCCCGGGCACAATATATAAGCAAGAGACCCGTTGACTTGGGCTTGGTAGTCAACATAATTTCGGGCTTTAGAGTCTCTTCCACAATTAGGGAGGAAAAGGGGATCTTTTGGGGCTTTTTCCACAGAGGTGAACAGTCAAGTTCAAACTCAATGGACCGGTCGCTGAGATTACCAATTTCCAAATTTTGGAAAGAAAAAAAAAGTAGATAGTTTTTAATGTTAAGTGAGCTTGAGTGATTGAACTTTTAGAAATTGTCAACTAGTTTGAAACTACAGAAATAGAAGTAATTCACATGATTAAAATTATAAAGTACCATAAAATTGCATCCTGATGTGCCGCTTGTGTTTGTTCAAATATTTGAAAGTTGTGTTAAGAAATTAAGCTAAAAAATCAAAGATGAATTATTTTCAAGTGTATTTAATTTCACTTCTCATCAATTATTTTTGGTATTACATAAATGTATACGAAAGAATGTCGTAAACATAACATTAAGTATTTGACATCATGGAGGAAGATCACGAGGGAGGTTGTGGAGGTATGAGAGTTACAATCATAAGTATTGGAGTAGTGAAAGTTATGGAAATAATAAAGAAGACTAGTGGTTATTATTCCTTTAGGAGTTCTAGACATCCACCATAACGTAATATTATATAACACTCTCCTTGGATGTCTATAGATAATGTGCCTCATTAAAATTTTACTAGGAAAAAAACTTTGTAGGAAAAAATCATAGTGAAGAAAAAAGAGTATACATATTTGATAATACGCATTGCTTGCTGCCTCGTTAAAAACCTTACCAGGAAAATCCAGTGAGATAAAACCTTAGCTAAGGAAAAAAGAGTATAACACGTATTTTCCTTTCCCTAATAAAAATATCATTTTATTTCTCGGAGACGATGCATTTTAATCTTGTATTTTAATTTCTCAAACGTTGAGGTTGGCAATGCCTTAGTAAACATATCAGCCAAATTATCACATAAACAAATTTATTGAATACTAATTTCATCACTCTGTTGAAGATCATGCATCTAAGAAAGAACGTTAGTGAAATATGCTTTATATGTCTTATTCGATATATCCTTCTTTCAACTGAGTTTATAAACTGGTAGTATCTTGGTATGACTTGGATAAGTATCTATAATTGAATGACTTGTAGAATATCAGAATATGACAGTACCCTTACATGCAAATAGATTATTTGAAGAATAAACTTCATGTAATGCCCTGCATTTCTAAAACCAATAAAACCTTGACAATATTTGTTAGGATAAATAAATCTATATTAATGGTTCCCTTTTGCAATATACTACTAATTGTATTTTTTCAACATATGAGAAACTATATCTCACTTGTATATAAGTATACTCATGTTCTAGGCTTCTAGCAAGATACATAAATTCACCAATTACATACAAAATAAATTATGAGCCCGTTTGGACATAAAATTTGATGGAAGATTTTTTCAAATTTTTTTTTTTACTTTTTTCCGAAATCAGCGTTTGTTCATAAAATTTTCAATTTTCACTTGAAGATGCATTTTGAAAATTTTCGAAAATTTGAAAAATTGCAAAAAGCTGTTTTTCAAAATTTTCACTCAAATCACTCACAAAACTTTAAAAACAACCCAAACTGAAATTTATGTCGAAACACAACTCTAAATTTCAAATACCATTTTCACTTGAATTTTTTTTTTTACCATCTTTTCGAATTTTACAATTCTTATGTCCAAACGCCTACTAAATATGGCAATTGCCTTGATCCATATAAGGAATTGTTGAAGTTATATTTAATAAATTTAGTGGAACCTTTATATGCTTCAGAATAATTTAAATTCTCACTTGTATATAAGTATACTCATATTCTAGCAAGATATATAAGTTCACCAATTACATACAAAATAAATTATATATGGCATGATTGCCTTGATCCATATAAGGAGTTGTTGAAGATATATTTAATAAATTTAGTGGAAACCTTTATATGCTTTAGAATATTTAATAAAATAGTGTAATACTGCACTATGCTACATCATCTAGTTGTGTTTAAATGACACATTTGAAATATGGTTGGAGTGTTCAAATGAAACAGACTTAAAATAGAGTGTTTAAGTAAAAAGTGAGAACAAATTTAAAGGGATGTATTTGGCCTTTTTAATTAGTATCTAAGCAGAAATAAAGTGGCATAGGAAAAATATTATATGACGAATGCAAATAATGACGCGATACGCTGTCTAATTACCGAAGTGTAATAGGAGTATATAGGTTAATTTTAGTACTTCATAATTTGTATTAAATCATTACTTGAATTGTTATGGATTTTGAACACATATCCCGATATACTAAACTGGATATTAAAGGAATGATTTATTGCTTGTAAGTGATAAACACCGTATCAAATACATGTCAACTTTTTCTTATAATTTTTGGAGAGAGAAGTCCACCAAAAATAATTTCTTAGCAGAATCATAAAAACTGTAAAAATAGCACGGGCTAGCCAGTTTTCGGACGGGTCATTCAAAAATAGCCAGCATTTACCAAGTCATTGAAAAATAGCCACTATTTTGATGTAACAGAGACCGGTCCAGCATAATATACTGAAGTTCGGTGCACATGTGTATGAACTTCCAGCATATTATGTTGGAACTCCAACACGCGGAAAGTTCCAGCATAATATACTGGAGATTCGAGCACCTGTTTATGAACTTCCAGCATATTATACTGGACCGGTATACTTTGCTGGAACTCCATATATTATGCTGGAGTTCCAGTATACTTATGCTGGAACTTCAGTATAATATGCTGGAGTTCCAGTATACTTACGCTGGAACTCCAGTATAATATACTGGAGTATTTTTTAGATTTTGAACAGTGTTTTCGTTCAGATTTATCTTTACATGAAAAATGGCTAAATTTCGATTACTTTTGAAAGTGTTGCTATTTTTGAATGACCACTTGTAAATCTAGCTATTTTTGAATTTCTCCCATAAAAACTAGATATTTGTGGACCAATATAAATGCATAGAGACTCTTACCATTATACATGAAGAAAGATTAACAGAGAGTTGCCATGTGGCCAAAAGTGTATGAGAATGCCAAGATATGGAAGTTAATTCAGAAGAACCTACCATCGTTTCTTGTTTAAGAAGATAAGCAAGTTGTGCTGATAATGTATTAAGTAATTAAGCTAAAAGATAATAATATCAGAAATAAAAGTAAGGAAAATAAAAGAGACAAGAAAATGCGATCTGTGTATGTGATGTGCTTGAGAAAATGCTCAATAGAATATATGTTTGAGTAAGGTATTTGCTACTCTTCGCCTTGTTCAGCTCGATTTGAGAGCTTGACTAATTTATATGACTCGATCCTCGCCCATTTATGAGATCACTATGCAGAGTTTCTTGGCTTGTGGATTGCCATTGTCTTTGGCATTCATTATTAGGCTAGTAGTGAAAATGAAGGTACAAGATAGGTTGCAGATTCTGAGTCTTACTCTCCAAGTTGCCAAGCAGTTTAACGTAGTATTTTTATGGTTTTAGGGTATTTTATTACTCGTGTATTGTTGTTGTATTGGATTAGTTCTTGTTGTATTCTCTAAGTTCATCAATTACTCTAAGCAAGTAACAAGACATTTTCAACGATCAAACTTGATCTTTTATGTACTTTTTTTTTTCTCTCTATGGGTTGATACTTACTGGTTTTAGACAAAAACTTTGTCAATAATTAAGCGAGCCTATATATATTTATATTTGGAATACCTTAATTAAAAATATTTCAATCTATGACTTTACGCACTAGTTAGTAATTAGGCCGAACAAATCGAAGTTACCGAACCGAATAAATCAAAATCGAAATGAGAAAAATTGAACCATACCTAATTTAATTAAGTATGGTATTGATATAAAATTTTAAGAAATGGGCAATCGAAAGTACATATCCAAAATGTCTAAATATCATAACGTACCGACTAACAATCACTCCTACCCTATTCCAATTTTACCAACCATAAACATCATGAAAAAGTTGTAACGACCCGATCGGTCGTTTTGAGCTTTATCGTTCCATTCAGTGTTTTGAGGTATTGATTGGTTTCATATTGTGTATTATGACTCGCATGTGTGGTCGGATTCGATCTTCAGATATTTTGGGATTAATTTGGATGCGTGATTTTCATTTTAGAATTTGAACTTGGGCGTATCCCCGTAATTGAATTCGAAGGTCCGTAGGTTGATTTGTGTTATTTTGCTGAAAGTTGATAATTTGAGGTTTAGAAGATTTCTAAAGTTTGACCGTAGGTTTACTTTTTGGCTATCGGGTTCGGAATTTAATTTTGGGACTTGGAATAGGTTCGTTTTGCTATTTGAAACTTCTCTGCAAAATTTGGTGTCATTCGGAGTTTGGTTGATAGAATTCAGACTCTTGGTTGTGATTCTAGAGGTTCTTGAGTTTTCATTTGAAATTCAGGTGTTTTGATCTAGATGTTATTTTATGTTTTGATCACACGAGCGAGTTCATATGATATTTTTAGACTCGTGTGGATGTTTGGTTTGGAGCCCCGAGGGCTCGGGTGAGTTTCAGACGTATATCAGAATGATTTTGAACTGAAACAGGTTGCTAGTGTGTTGGTGTTGCAGTTATCGCAATTGTGAGCACAAGCTTAGCAATTGCGAACATGACAGAGGGAACTCAGATATTGCAATTATGATATCTGGTTCGCATTTGCGAAGATTAGGATGAAGTTGGGTAGTTCGCAATTGCGATCATTTGGTCACATTTGCGAGGAGGACAGACTTCGCATTTGCGAGGTTTGTGTCGCAATTGCGACATCTCATGGGCTTGTCAGTAGCCGTATTTGCGAGGTTTGTGTCGAAATTGCTACATCTCCTGGGCTTGTCAGTAATCGCATTTGCGAGGCTTCCTTCGCAATTGCGAACCCAGTGTCCCAATTGCGATATCTGCAACTGAATAAAAGGTTGGAAAGTCGGAATTTCATCTTATTTTCTCTCATTTTAGAACCCTAGACTCGGTAGGAGGCGATTTGGAGAGGGGATTTTTATTTGCAAATATTGGATAGGTGATTCTAATAAATTTCAAACTATATTTCATGATTATATCTTAGATTTAACATCAAATTTATGAGAATCAAAGAGGAAATTTGGGAATTGTTGTTAAAGTTTTGAA